GATTTGTGTGTCTTGTTTTCTAATCTTCTAGGAAAGTATTATTGGATTCTAATTTATAAAAAAAAATTAGATAACTTTAATAAAATAATAAATTATATATAAATAAAATATTATAAACTCTCTTTGATCTTGTTGATTAGTTGTTCTATAGTCTCATAAAATATGTCAAATAATTTATAAATTTATATATTTTTATGATCTCCTAGCAAAATCTCTTTTACTGTCTTGTTCTAGCTTCTCCCCTTTGGGAGTTTGAGTTTTAATTTATATTTGGTTTACAAAAAAAATGTATATACTTTTATCATACTTTTTATGACTTTATTGTAAAGGAAGGTGTTTAAAATCATCAACCAATAATTTAATTCATTAATTAACAATCATAAATTCTTTTGTTTTAGTTGTTTTAGTTGAATAACACAAACTTTTTTATGATTTTATATAAAAAATATTCAATAACCCCATATCTATGTAGATTTTAAATGACTTTTTACAAACCAATAACTAATAACACCAACGTCTTACTTGGCTTTAGGTGGTCCGGCATGGCTGCATGATCAGATTGATAGAGACAAAAGACTTGGCGCTTAACTGCAACTCGTGTTTCATATTCGATTTCATTTTAATCTATTTTGGTTTATTATTTGTACTGTTATGTGCACTCTTTGGCTAATAATATAATCCATCAGTGTTAAAAAAGAAAAGTTAATAAAATCTTATGGAATAACAATAGATTCTACGTAACATTTAAAATCATTAAAATACTATATAAATCACAAATCAATAACATGTTAAGGATTACATATAAAACAATAAAATCTTGATGGAATAACAATAGATTTTGCATAAAATTTAAAGTCATATAAAAACACTATATAAATCACATATCAATAACAACTCTTTAAAAATTACATATACAACAGTAATAAAAAAATTCTTGTTTATTAATGTCACACTCCAGATATATATATATATTAGTATGGAGCCAAAGTTTTCAAACCACTAATTATTTCAACAAATACACATTTTCTGGTCCAACAATAAACCAACCCCCTCTGTCTCTCTCTATCATTTGTTCTTGAATTTTCCATCTTCAGCACAATTTTGTTATTTGACTTCATCGAAGATTTTAGTTTGATCCAAATGGGTTCATATTTGTGCTGTTCTGCCAAACCAGATACCACCAGAAGTACGACGGGAAACACTAGTGACCAGAGGTGGCAAACCGGCGACAACAATCTTTTATCGGACGCAAGCACCTTCTCTGTGAAGGAGCAAGAGCATCAGCTTAAGATGGCCAGACTCGAGGAGAAGAGACTTGCCCGTGAAGCCGAGAAATTCAACAAACGGGTCAAACAACAATCAGCCAGATTCGACTAACGTCCATAGTTGACCAAGCTTTACTATATTCTTGTAAATTGTAACAAAAATCTTATCTAGAGTTGTGATCATCTAAATGAACCATATATTATAATTATTAGGGACCACAAGGAAACACAAAAGTTCACAGATTATGATATCAAAACGTGGCACAGATTACTTTCTACACACAGAGAGAGCTAGAAATGTAAACAAAACGAGATTACCCGACGCATCGGTATGTAACATGCGACTCACTGAGCTCGTCTTTGTATGTGACCTTCATGACTTTCCCTGTCTCTAGTCCATAGTATCGCGCAATCGGGTCTTTAGTCGACAACCGAGGAAGCTAACAAAAGGGAGATAACAAAAAAACGTTTTTAACTCATACAAAATCCTGGTTCATATATAGTTCCTAGAAGGCTAGAATGAATGATCCATGTACAAAAAAGCTTGATTACTTGTTTTTCCTCGATACTGAACTTCTTGAGAAGTGATTCCTTCTCTTGATCATTCAGAACCTGATGTTTTGGCCTTAAGACATGTTTGGTTACGTTAACCAGCAATTCGGTTATCTAGCAACACAACAAGCAGCAACCAAGATGTTACGGACCAACTATGTGAATCAAGTCGAACCAACATATTATTACGTGATACGGTACTCGATATAAAGATATATACCTCGAATAACTCGACCTTAAACGTGAAAAGATCAACGGCTTTTAGAGCTTGATTTGTTATGTGACCTTGCAGAACCAGTATCAATCCGCTTATACTTTCTCGGTTAAGAACATCCGCTGCAATGCCTCGCATCTCATTGACTTTAACCATACCAGTTCCACAAAACATGACCGCAATCTAAAATTCAAATCATAAGAATCACTCTGTGCTTGTCAATTTAGTGACAACAATAATAAAAAAATAAAAAGAGACTTTTGAAGGAAACAGAGAAGCTAAGTTAAAAAAGCATGACAAACATGAAATGTTTTCTTATAACTCTTGATCTTACGAGTAACTCTTCATCAATTAACTAACTGATTAATGCATATCCAACATTCTAGTCAGAGATCTTTGATTTTTTTTTTTTTAGTCAAAAAGACAAAACTCTGTTTCAAAGACAGAGGAATTTAGATGAAATCAAACCTAACTCGGAACCAATCTGAAAAGCAGAGCTTTTGTCAGACCAAGTGTATACTGAATCCAATTATATCAAATTACAGGAAAACAGTTGGAATTTTTTTTAAAGCTAGGCACATGCAAATATCGAAATCACATTAATTCAGCATCGATTTTAGAAGACCTTTTTAGTTGAATCTAAACGATGTTCGGCGGAGATACGGAGTCGATTTATGTCAGGAATTTCGCCATAGAGCGTTCGGAACTGTTGGAGGGAGAGGTTAATGTCTTCGTCAGAGACATCGTATCCTCTGTCTCGGAGCATCTCCATGGTGGTTCGACGCGCCAAGTAGTATTTGTGACACTCTACACTTGATTTGTTAATGGACGGTCTAACAGCTATCTCTTTCCCTTTCCCCTCCATCGTCTCTCTCGGTCTCGGTGGAGGAAGGCAAAGCTTTGAGCCCTGAGTAGAGTGAAGTGGATTGAAGATGACAAGACCCGTTGTCGTTTTTTAAAAATAATCAATTTGCCCGTGACGTTCCTACTATGACAGCGAATGAAGTTTGCAACAGACTTGGATGGTAGCCAATGAGCAAGCAGGTGATGTAGTCAAAGGTGATTAAGCTGTATTCGAAGCTTATGAATATTTTTGGGCTTATCGTCCAAGTTCTCGACCTTGATTCTGCTATCCTCGTAGCTTTCACCTCGTTTTTTTTTTTTTCTTTTTTTTTTTCATCAATTCACCTCGTGCTTATAAAATGGATATATTACTATGTGCCTTTTTTTTTTTTTTGCTACGCAGATTAATATGTGCCTTTATTAGACAAGGATACGTATTGTAACATTAGTTTATAAAGGATTCAAAAGTCAAAACCTATTGAAATCTCACCTCAAACTTGAAACATTATGCAATTTCTGACTTCTTAATAAATTAAGACCATGAATCAAGTTTTACTATCTACGAACATGCAGAGTTTGTCGTTCTTTCTTAGGTTTATTAATTGTATAAGCGCGTTTTAAACGGGAATATATATATATTGACCCTAGCTTCGACATGATATATCTTGCCGCATATAACCTTGATGATATAATAATATGGGGTTCAACATACGTAAGGAGATACCAAAACACTCCAATACACAAATATATTATGATATATATCTCATAACTTCAGTACTAGTCCAAAGTGAGTTAATGATAAATTTCATACGCCCGACAGCCAAACATAGCGAACAAGGCAGCGACGGCACACCATGCAACTGTTTCTTCAAAAGTTTTTGGCCAAAAGCCGTGGTCGTCTTTCTTAGTTGTTTGAGCTTCCATGGCGAGGGCCTGTTGACGAGCCTCCGCAACAGTGAGAGGGCACAGCAAGTTAAGATGGTCTCGGATATTTTTCCGCAAGCCACCAACGAAACGAGCCACTATTTGCTGGTCCGAATCTTGCAGGTCAACACGCGCCAAAAGCGAAAAGAATTGGGTGGAATATTTTTCAACTGAACCCTCTCCTTGTTGCAACATGTTCAAGTGTTGGAACATCACTTGATCATAGTTGAATGGTACGAACATCTTACGCATCTTCTTCTTCAGCTTGTCCCACGACATGTTTTTAGGTTTACCCGACTGTGCGCGCTGTGCCTTTAGTTGCGTCCACCAAGCTGCGGCTCTTCCGCGGAATCGCATCACAACCATGGGAACACGTTGCTCCATAGGTACGTGGTTGAACTCAAGAGTCTCCTCGACCGTGAAGATCCAATCGAGAAACTCTTCCGGTGGTTGTCCGCCATGATATTCCGGAAGTTCAAACTTGAACCGATGCTCTTCTGAAAAGGGGTTGTATTCATTATTGCATTCTTCATGTGGCTGGACATTGATGTAATCCTCCTCCTGGATGGCGAGAGCTTGCACCGCCGTTGCACACTGGTGAATATCTCGCTTGAGTGTATGCGCATCGGCCTTCTGAGCCGGAGGGGCCATGGCCAAGGAACGTGTGTAATACACTAATATATAGTAGTAGGGCTTTGAGAGATACGTCTCTTACAAAGTTGCTGCTGAATAAATTAAGAGTTTACAAGCTAATATAAATATAGGGCTCTTAACAGCTAGGGTTTCATTCCACCCTAGAAGGGGCGATCTATTTTAGAAAAAGAGTAATTAAAGTCAAAGTCAAATTAAGTTTTGTCTCAATGGTAAAAGGTAAGTAAATCGCAAAACACCAAAATGTAAGAGTAGATATAGCTAGGGTGGAAACTTTCTCGGTAAAAATATATACGTTTCATTTTGTTTCCTGTTTTGGAAACATTCTTAAATACCATTAAAATGGATATTTAAAAAAAAATACAGTTATGAGTTTTATTTTCCAAAATATCATTATAATATTTTTTAAAAATATACCACAAAACTTAAATTAACCTTTTAACATTTAAAACTAATTTATAAATCTTAAATACTAAATCATAGCCCTAAAAACTATACCCTTAATATAAATAGTCAATCCAAATATATATAAAAAAATATACACCTTCAAGAATCAAATTTTTATGTTTACGCTATTTTTGAAAATAAACTTTTTATGGCACTTTTGGAATAAAAAACTAATTGTGGTATGTTTTTGAAAAAAAAACTTTGTGCTATCCATAGAATTTCTCTTTTTTTATTTTTTTGGAAAAAATATGATGCATTCATTTTTTAATATTATATAATATATATTTTGTATAGTTTAGTGCACTTTACTATTCACTTTGCTTATCTATATGCCAAAATGTTTAGATCATCTTCAATTGCAGTTTCTTAAGCTAAGATTTTGCAAAGAGAATATCTTATATAAACTAAATACTTGTTTTTTTCTTTTAATGTAATCTAGAAACGTCAACGTGAAGAAAGAATCGAGGCTTAAGCCACTTCAATTTCAATAACTCTATATACTGTACAAGAAAACAAACTTTATAATTCAAAGAAGACAACCAACCCAAACATATCTTAAGTCAAAAGTCATATATTTTCTTCTCTTCACATTTCACAACAACATCAATCAAACGAATCCAATTTACTAAAGACAACACTTGTTACAACGTACCAATCCATTCTCATTGCATCCCTCGCATCTCTTAAACCCATCTTCTTGTTCCTCAAACACTTTAGTACTACCGCCACAATTTGTACACGGCACAAACCTTGCATCTCCGCAGATATCACAAGCTCCCACGGTTTCACAAGCTGGAAAGCCTTTTAACATCTCTCCTAATTCGCCTCCATCGTTGAGTTTCTTGATTTCCTCAATTCCACCAATGCGGATACCTCTTATGAACACCTGAGGTAAACAAACCGGTTTATCTTCCCCGAGTGCTATCTGAAGCTCTTTCCTGTATTTGGAGTCCATTGAGATGTCACGTTCTTCTACCGCAATCTGAAACCCTCTCAATATCGTTCTAACGCAACAGCAATCCTCATAAGTCTTTCGGATTCCTCTGAGGCTAGTGAAGTACAATACTATCTTGTTCTTGTTATCTTCTGCCTCAAGCAATCTTGGTTTCTGCAGGTCTTCCACAGTCTGAGAACTCAGTGGACTCGAAGATACAGATTCTGGTAGAGTCGATTGATTAGAGTGGCTGCAAGAGAGGGATTTCGTGCTACTGTTTTTGCCTAGCTGCTTAGAAGACAATGCTTTCTTGTAAGAGGAGATGATATTAGGATCCAAATCAGAGAGAAATGATTCTTCAGACATATGTTTCCACAGAGGTTGCTTAGGCTTAGAAGGCAATAATCTCCAATCTTCATCATCTTCTTCGATTCTTACGAATTCGTAAGACTCGTCCAGTTTCAACGCAGATCCATTAATACACACGTCTCGATTCACGATGTGTTTAGAAAAAGAATCAGACTTTACGGCGGAACTACGCTTACTTGTATCGGAATCAGCCAAATCGAATTCTTCGTCAAGGCCGTTCATGAGCTCCCACGTGTTGATCACTGAGTCAGGAGACAGCGAGTCGCGTGCCTCCTCTGTTTCAGGCGTCTTCTTGTTACTACTCTTCCCGGAAATGGAGAGATGAGGCAATGTTTGTCTGTCGGAAGCTCCGTCGAGGAGAAGAGAACCGTAAGTGGAGGATGTAAGGGAGACGAAGTGATGCGTATCGCCTTTTTTAGCCGGTGGATGATGAATCGACGGCATCGGAAACGTGAAAGCTTTAGGAACCGACGAAGAGGAGACTTTGGAGTTGAATTTCGTCTCCGGAGATGTATTTAAAGCCGAGTTTGAAGAAGAAGAAGCAGAAGAAGCTGTTTTAGAAGCAGAGGAACCCATGATTATCGAAGCAGAACAGAGAAGAAGAACAAATGTAGTTTGTGAACTCTTTTATGTGTTTCTTGTACTTTTCCTTTTGTCGGAGAATATAAAAGAGAAAGAGAAAGCGAGAGAGAGAGAGAGAGAGAGATAGAGAAAGAGAGAAGAAACAGGTGGAAAGGAGCTGTCTGAGTAAGTTAGAGGTGGAAGATGGTGAAAACACTAAAGAAGACGATGGCGATGTTGATTCGTCAAGATCGCATTTGATTTTATTTGATAATTAAGGAAAGTATCCAATTTGATCCTAACTTTTAGAGCGTAAATTCGGAAATTAATAATAACTGAACCAAACAAAATGTAAACTGTCAAGATCCTGAAAAATTGCTTAACTTCCGAAATGTGAAGTAGCCAAAGACTTCCACTAATATATATATATTCTTTTTAGGGAAATTAAAAAAACAGAGCAAAATTACTAATAGAAGAGAGTGATACTTTCTTTTCTTTTCTTTTTTTTTCTTTTTTTGGATAAAAGACAGCGATACTTTGCTAAGGGGGTGTTATTCAACCTTGTATTTTAATTGATTTGGATGTATTTCAAAATCTAGCGTTATTTAACGATGTATTTTAAAAACCACAATAAAATCTGCTGTTATTGGATTTAACATTTGTTGGATGTATTTTAAAATATTTTAAAACAAGCGTTATTCAATTTTCAATGGATTTTGTTTTCTTTAAGATTTTAATGTATTTTACATCTAAAACACGTACAAACACAATCCTAACACTTTTCAAAGGATTTCATCTCTTTCATACCAAATCCATCTTAATTGTATTTAAAGGCTATTGAACTTTAAAATCCACCTGTAATTAAAATCCCTTAAAATTCTCCATCCAATAACACCCCCTAAGTTGCTTATTTATAATTTAGATTACGTAACAGGAAAACAGCATTACAAATGTTTATAAATTTAAAAATTTAAACACTGATTTAAGAAGAAGACTAATAAAATTACTTGAGATGTTTTGAATTGTGTTGATCTTTGAGCTGAAAATAGTACAAAAATGTAAAGAACGAGATTTCTTGGGTTATCCCATACAAAAGTAAGTAATTTATTACATTTGTAGACTAAAAAAACAATTAACATCTCAGATTCCAGCACATCATACAAAGTAAAAAGTTGGAATTCAGTTTACTATTGTCTAATAAAAATGAGCTGTGTAGTGTGCATTGGTATTCTGTTATATGAGAATATAAACAAGAAATTGAATTGCACAAGGAACACTCATTGAAGAATCCTTTAATACTTTGCCTTTTAGAAAGAGAAGCAAAACTATATATTTTCTTATATAAAATAACTGAAAAAAAAAATTATTATCAGCATAAACAAAAAGCAAGATGGGCAAAAGAAGATATTTTTAATTTCTTCTTTCATGTATTTTTTTTTTTTTTTTTTGTTTCTTCTTTCACGTATAAAAAGAAGGAAATCTTGGTAACTTATCCGTAAAGAAAGACGCCCAAGGCGTTAAAATTAGTTCAGAATATTTCAAGATGTAACTTCTTTGCTTTTACCCCAAAAAAAAAAAAAAAAGTGATTTCTACATAAGCCAACTTGGAACAGTTATCCACACTATAAGCTATCTATCTATGAACATCATCACCATAGATGATGATCAATTTAGTCTTTGATGAGCTACTTGAATGATGATTTTTCAAATGGATGAATAAAGTCGAAATTCACATATCATTATTTGATCACACTAATGAAATGAAAGTTGGAAACAATAACCTCATAACAACACACAAGCGTTCTCTCAAGGCATCAAAAACACATAAACTGAGACGTGTAGTATATATATATATATATATATATCAACGAGCAAACAAACGACCTATACAAATAAAATATAATCCTCTATAAACCCAAACCCTTCAATAATTTGGGACCATTCTCACCGGAGAAAACCAAAAAAAAGTTGAAAATCCGTAAGGAAAGGAAGAAGGAGGAGGTGAAAAATGTATAAACAACTGATCATCCAAAATGTGAATGACCAATCTCTCTGTTTCTGAGAGAACCGGCGATCTCGTCTGCGATGGACAAACATGTTAAGATCCAGCCGCTCAGAGCAAACCACACCGTTTTCGTCAGAAGCATGGCCATTTCCAAAGGCATCGCCATTTTACTCTCTTTCTCTCTCTAGCTATGTCAGTATTGAGAGCTCAACTCATTTGGCAGAAGAGAAACCACTGGAAGCTCCCTCTTTACTTGTGGTTGGAAGCTTCAACGGTGATGAAATATGAAAGAATAAGTAAGTCGGCACGTGGGACACGCGAGGATCTTTCAAGCAATAAGACCTCGCCACGTATTGATTATGTTCACCAGCCGCGTCTCTTTCTGGACAGTGTTTAGGGGACACGTCACTGCTCGACCAATAAGAAGAGAAGATCCGACCCGGACTCTACCAACCTGACCCGGTAGTTGGTATATTTATTCTAACTGTTATATACTCTTCTTTTATATAATTGGCCATTTTTAATTAATATTTATAATTGAACTGTTGTAATTTCCCTATAATTTTCTAAATAATACTTCACAAAACAACACAAGTACTACATAGAAAAGAAAAGGAGGAGGCACAAATACAATAATGGTTATTAATTTATTGAGTATAGTAATTGAAGATAATAAATCCAAGAAATAATTTGGTGCAGCGGCAACATAGAAGTTTCCTTGTATCATTATCGGTTATAAATCATTTATTTATTTCAATTTTAGTAGATAGGTCTCTTATGTTTTCAAATCTATCCAAATATTTAGTTTTCATGCTATTTAAACCACTTGCAACTCTCTCTCTATCTTCATGAAGATTGTTTGAAGTGACGACAAAAAAAAAAATAAAGAGAGCAAAAAAGATGATGGTCCAATCGGAGTCGGCTTATTGGGTCATAGTGGGATCGGAAAGCAATGGCTCGTGATCCTTCCACCGTCAAGAGCGGGAGGTGGACGCTGCTCTGTGAAACCAGCCTCACTCGGTCTCCCCCACTCTAGGAGACAAGAGATCCAAGCCTTCGCTCAAACCCCATGCCTCAACTCCCAACTTGGAATGGGCAAGCCAGAATTTAGCCCACTCCGAACCCGGCCCAGTGAGATCGATCCAACGTCCCATCACCTTATTGTCTCCACTTGGATCACAAGCCCGCGTTGCTGAGCTCGACGTTCAATTCTTGTTAACTTCACTATTATATATAACAACAAAAAAATCTGTTTCTCCGATGTGGGACAAATAGCAATCACTTACTAAGCGTCTTCATGCAGTTCGTATCAAAGGCCAGAACTTTCGATCACTCACTTCCAAGTTTTGGGTTCTCGTCATATACTGATCGTTGTGGTTATCAGCTATATGAACTTTCTCGTTAACAGATTCTTGGGGATCGGAGTATGAGATGAGAGAGTATCTTCAATTTTGTTGTTTTATGGTTCTTGAGCTAGTGTCATGTGGCAAGACTATATAGTTGTTAGTTTTGATAAGATTCAATATTGAGTCAATCTTTGCTAGTTTTGGATTCTTAAGCTAATGAAGAATGTAGCAAGAAACTTCCAAAGAAAACTTGTAAGTTTGTAAAAGAAAAAACCAAGAAAGTTAATCTAGGGAACCAGTAAATTCACCAAAAAAAGAAATCCACTACTGTTTGCAAATTTCTTTAGTCATCTCACGCCGAGGTTGCTCTTCTCTTAGCTCTTCTCTTATCTTTCAGAGACTTCTTCGTTGATGTTGCCTTCGGAGGATCATGCTGGTTCTGAGCCCTTGTTAGTGTGCTATCACCTTAGTGAAAGAGAAAAACAACCAAGAAACATAAGTAAGGTATATAGATATATAATACAAACAAGAATTTATAGTGTTGGAAAAAGGTTTTGCTACTTACCACTATTGGAATTTTTTGAAGGTGCAGATTCATGTATTCGATTCTGTCCTTCTCTTTTTTCATGGATTGGCTCTTGTACCTGAAGATGCTGCTGCTTCTGGTGCAGTACTACTGCTTGCTGCTCGTTGTTGTTTCCTCCATATTGCAGCTCTTCTAGAGAGAAGCTGTGTTGCTGCTGAAATTGCGGTTGGTATTGTCCAGATGGATATTGTAGCGGGTACTCGGGTTGTGTTAGTCGTTTGGCTAATGAAGGATCCATGAGCTCGAAAGCTGGGCCGTTGTTTTCATTATAGTCTCCAAAATCATATATAGACAGGCCACTGGGAAAAGTAGGTTGGAGGTTCTGGTGCAACTGTTGAAAATGCAGGATAGTAATCCATGGAGAGAGAGAAAAAAAGAAGAAGAGTGATTCATAGAAAATCTTTAATGTAAAAGAGTATAAGCCATGCGTTGATACAAATGCTCCAATCAATAATCGTTAAATTTATTTGGAAAAATGATAAATAGATGACATTTTTGTGTTGGTCTTTTGTTTTTCTTATGGAGAAAAAGGTTAGATAAAAAGTTCGATTCTGCATTTTTGACGCAACTTGGTTTCATATATCATCATCTTTTGGTGCTTGAAATAGTTACATCATGCTTGTAGACTCAACCAGATATATAGACATATCAAGAACTCAAACAAAATAAAAAGGAAGCATAAGAAGAACTTTGAAAATTGTATTTACTTTCCGACATATAAAAGAAGAAACATAAACAAAAATGGGAATTTGCTGATTTTCATATAATGAAACAATAACAAGTGACAACTAGTACCATCATCATCTACATATTATCTTCATTCTCTATAGCAAACCCTGTATTTACCGGAAGAAGCATTCCTAAAAAGAACCTATAAAAACAAACACTGAAATTGTGCAGACAACTGAGAAAGAAAGACAGAAAGGGTCAGACCGAGGTTGTGATATCATTGTATTTAGGACGTGATCGATCCGTGGATATCACTTCTTCCATTGCTTTCCTCTTATTACCACCACTCATCAGTGGTTCAAGTTTTTCGGATTCAAGTTCTTGATGGAGAGGCAATATCTCAATGACTGATGGATCTTCTTCTTCTTTTATCTCCGGTTTAGAAACTTCACTCTCCTCTTCTTTAGCTGGTTTTTCACTTTCTTTCTTCAATTTGGTTTTCATCATATGTGGTTTCAACTTGGTAAGATCAGCCAACTTTACTGGTTTCAAGAAAAACTCTTCAGCTCCTTCTTCTAGACATCTGTTGGAAGAAACCACTATTTACATCAAAACTAAATTCCCACATCCAGTGCATAAGAAGCCACAACTTTCTCTACATAGTTTAAGTTAAAAAAGACTTTGATGTTCAGACCAAAGAATCAAATAATACCCACTTGACTAATTCCAAACCAAAACCCAATAAGACTCAGATTTAATCTTAAAGAAACAGAGACCATTACCTGGAGATTCTTGCAGGAACGTTCTCAGAAGACATTATCACTACAGGAATGCTTTTAAATGCCGCTGATTCCTACACAATCATGTAAACTTCTCAGAAGCAAATAAAATTGTTCTTATCATACACAACAATGGCATAAAAGAAAGTTTTTTTTTTTGTGAGTGGGAAAATAATATTCCAGTGAGATTTTCTCCAATGACATTTCATTTTGTATAAATCCAAAAGATGAAAACTTTATTTCTTTTTCTAGAAAACGAATTTAGCCAGAGATGGAAAAGACAGTAACCCAATTGAGAAAAAAAAAAAAAAAAAGGAAACAGAGCCGAGAAATAATACCTTAACTTTCTTGAGCAAATCATAACCAGTCATCCCAGGCATACAGTAATCTGTAATTATAAGATTAATTTCAACCTCCTGTTCAAAGCCACCAAAATCAACAAGCAAATTTCAATATCCAATTCATTTGTAAATTTCGAAAGTAACCAAAACTCGAATCATGTTAAGAAACTGAACCTGATGAATATGGGGTGATGTAGAGAGCACATTTGGGTCTTCATCATCTACTCTCAACCCAAGAAATTCGAGAGCTTTAGAGCCTGAATCAACTGTTGTCACTGCAGAACATACAAACAAGAACCAGAAAAGAAAAAAAGCTTGTTTTTAGTATCTTTCCCCAAAACATATAGCTTAAAGACTTTGGCTTTTTCATTGTCTATATAATTTACCTTGACATGAAGACTTTTGAAGCAACCTCTCAATCATTTTCCGATCAAAGAGACTATCATCAACAGCTAAAACATGGAACTGTGACTCTGTTTCCATACCCATTGCTGATATATATGAAATCGAAACCTTTCAAGATCTGAATCTACAATCTACAGAGCCCAGATGCAAAGTTTTCAACTTTTCTTGTGTTCCAAATCCAAAAATAAAAATTCCGTTTTTTTCCCCCCGGAAATGTTGAGACTTCTTATGAGAATGAGCTTATGAGAGAGGAGGAGAAAATAAAAGGGGTCTTTGTATTTTTCACCCCAAATCTCGGAGAGAGTCAGAGAGAGAAGAGAGGCCAAAAAAGGGAAAATAAAACTAAAAATTGGGATCTAGCTTTGGTTTAGACCAAGTAAGCAAGTTTTAAGGGATCAAAGTAATTTGCAAAGGAGACAACGAGAGAAAGAAAGAGATTAAAGAAACTTTGGTAATGGATAAAAATAATGAAAAGAAATCTATACGAAGATTTTAATGGATTTGTTTACTTCACCATAGACTTTTTTTTTCTCTTTAAGATAAGAGGATGAGGGATTTAAATATGCATATACTCCTACAGCCACATGCATTGCAATTGGTTGTTTTTATCAACCAAATAATATATGTCTTAAAGGTTATTATTTTTTTTTAAAAAAAACGTTCATAAATTTTGACTGTTCATCAAGATGTTTAAATTTATAGAGTTTGACAAAACAAAAACAAAAAACTGTAAGAAAGATTTTTATAGAGTTTTATAGTTGAATCTTTAAAAAACTGAGTTTCCGTCATTAAAATAATCTTCATTAAAAAAAAAAATGCACCAAAGATATCAAAATATGCATATATATATATGTCATTCGGAATGCAAGTTCCAACTTTAAAATTTATTTAAAGGAAGTTTTTAACTGTTTTGAACTTACCTCAGAGTTAAATTTTTTTAAATGTATTTTTATACAATGTTATTACATTTTAAATATATAATTACAAAACTTGGAAATAATTTGAAATGGTCCTGAAATGAAAGGGTGATCTCTAGCGTAAAAGATTTGTCGTCGGACCACGAAAATTTAAATATCATCGTCCCTATTTCAATTTTTGCATTTTAGGTTGTGGGGTTTGTGGATTCATGCGAGTCGATGTGACGTGTTGTGCTGCGTATCTTTTACTTATTGGATGTAATTTTTATGTTGTTTTGTCTCAGTTTTTTTTGGATATCATCTGCATGATATAACCACAGTACAAATGTGGTTACTCTACGATCCCTATAAAATACTCAATCAGTAAACTATATATTTGATAGAAAAAAGAATATTAGATATAGGATTGGTAAGTGGTAACACAAAATCAGTCAAAAGTTATTTGTAACTAGAGATAAATATTGTAAAAGATGAATATTAGAAGTATAGAGTATATTATAACAGTAGAAATAAACAAATCTTAAAAAAGACTTAATTTCCATCAACAGTTAAAACCTGAACAATGTAAGCTAAAGGTGAAATGGTGGTGTTGGCGATGGTATGAGTAGTACAGTACTATCTATACTTAACAGTTAGATTCGTTGGCAAAAGTATTAAGAATTTTTTTTACAAAACAGTAAGGTTAGGTAGTGTGGTAGTAGTGGCAACGACATGGCAATGTTCACTTGATTCTCTGCGAAAGATTTGCCTCCCATGGCCATGCCCATCATCGCCACTATCATATCGTTCATCATCTTTATGTGGACGACACGTATCCAAAGTATGGTAGTAGACACATAAAAAGTCCCTCCAATTACCATACTCTCTTATTGGTCTAGTGGGTTCCATATTGTCTTTCTCACTTTCCACATTTCAATTTCTCTCTTTTTTTTTTTCTTTTTTTTTTCCTAATTTTCTTATTATATTGTCCATTTGTTTTTGTTGTTTATTCGTTTTTCCGCAACAAAATGACAATGTAAGACTATGGCTTTTTATCTTGTTTGTTAACAAATTATTGGCTATGTCAGTTTCATTATATTGCTCGTTTCACTCACATATATTTATATGTTTGTAATAAAACATTGGTGCGATGTTGACCTAATTAAGATTAATGCACCTTTCACTCATATATTTATACATATCGAATAAAATTTGTTGCATTGTTGACTTAATTAAGATTAATTATGTGATTTTACAAATAGTTATACAATTAGTATTATATATAGAAGATTATATCTCTAAATCAAATGTCAACATAAACAAATTTTCCATTTTTTAGTTGATTGAATGAGATTTTTTTTTTAATATATACCTCTCAATAGTTTAAATATTTTTTATATGTTAAATACAATCATATTTGAAATATGAATTCATAGGTCAGAACAGTCTCTCTCTAACTATAATTGACCAGTAATCATTTAACTTCCACAATATTCGAACAATCATATTTACGTAAAACATAAAATATCAAATATCATATCAAAAACGCATACTAGGCTTACTAGCAACTCTTTTGAGAATTAAAAAGATATTTTATTTACAATATAATAAAAGATGTAAAACAAAACTTACTCTTACATAACCGCCACGAGAGATGACTTGAGTGACAAAGTTAGCCACTGTTAGGCATGTCAATTAGGGCTAAAGCCCGCGGGCTAGTTTGGCCCGGCCCTGAAAAACATCGGGCTCGGGCTTAAATATATATGTCCAGAAAAAACCGGGCCTTTTGGGCTAAGCCCATTCGGACTAAAGGGTTTTTTGGGCTTAGCCCGGTCGGGCTCGGGCCGACCTGAAAAGCCCTTATACAAATATATTTTGAATTTTTTGAATATTTTAGTTTGATTAAAAGATTTGATTAATGTTATAGTTTTCATATTTACTTACTAGTCTTACTTATTACTTTTAAAATATTTATACAAAGCTAAAACTAAATATATATAAGTATCATGATTTTGAAATCATCAAAATATCTATTAAATTTTGACTCTATGTTATACTTTAAAGTATTTTAGTTCCATGTTTTATTGGGTTAAAGTGTAAATAATTTATTTGGCTTTTATTTTTTTTTCTCTTAAATTAAGTTAGTTTTATTGAATATTGATAAGTTATTTAAAATTTGATGCATTATTTTAATAGTAGACCTTTAAATATAGTTTTTAAAAAACTATTATAAACTTAGAAATTGATTTTTTTATCGGTAAATAAAGCTCGAAAAAGCCCGAAAAGCCCTGTAGCCCTGTTAGGGCCGGGCCGGGCTTTGAAATATAGGCTCGGAAATTTTTCGGGCCGGGCCGGGCCGGGCTTACATATATGAGGGCTTTACGGGTTTCGGGCCGGGCCGGGCCGGGCTAGCCCGATTGACATGCCTAGCCACTGTACTACCAAACATATTTTTACCGCCACACTAAAAATTAATTTATTTAAAAAAAAAAAAGAATTCAAAGATATACAATGAAAGAGATGAGGAAGCAAAGGTCAGAGGGGATCGTGGTGTTGACTAGAAAAGCGATTCTAAGAATTAATGGAGTTATATCATGAAACTGTAATGCACGATGTGTCGGGAAGACATGCATGCTCTCAATTTCAAAAACCCTAAAAAGAAAATAAAAGAAATAGTCAAATAGATCTCCAAACGAGATCTTGTCTCATGAAACTTCAGCAGAAACGTCCATGGCTCTTTGATGATAGAGGACCCCTCCTCCTCTTCTCTTCAACATATTCATAACTTCATCATCACAACTTTTGACCCTACAGTTTTACAAAATGGACAAATTTGAAGAAGAAGACGTCTTTGAATTAGTGGGAGTAACTAAATGAATAACATTAAGTGGATATTTTAACAAAAAAAAAAAAAACATTAAGTGGATATATATATATATATATATATATATATATATATATATCGGACCACACACACCATTAGCTATAACTTTAATCGTAACAAATGTGTAAGTCAACGTTAGTATAAGCTTTGTCTAAGTTTTTGAAGTTCATCTACGATATGGTTCGTAACTTTTACTATATATGAGTGACGGTGACCGGTGACCAGTATCTTCCCCTGTCTTTGGGCTGTTTTGGCCTTCTCAATGTTTTTCTTCTTCAACAGGTAAAATACAAACAAACAAAAAATTGCCTAAATTTTATTTTGAAAAAGAAATTAACGAGTTGGTGGAATCTTTGTGTCCCTATCAAATTGTCACGAGTCGTATTCTGATATCACTAATTATTGACGACGATTAAAACGTTTTCAGATTATTTATTATCACAATTCTTATTGAATCCATCTAATTATTTAACCTAACAAAAGTAATTATTTGACTTGTATCTACACATATAAAATAATATGTACATACGATCTTTACTTTGAATTTTTCCTACTCTAGTGATTTGACTGGTTGAAAGAAACCTATATATTGTGTATCTTATTCGGCGAATATATAGTATTTGACTTGTAATTTTGATATTATTTGAGATTAAGAACAAAAATATATATAAATCCATGTGCATAATAATATATGATTTAAGATTGATATAAATGCAAAAGTCAATGTCACGAATATTATTAGAGAGACGTTGGCATGTGACATGAGAGAAGATACGGTGGATCGTATCTGGTGGCCTCCATCTTTGCTTTATGTTATATATTTCAAACTCTCTTTTTATTTCCTGGCTAATACTAAACAAATTAAAAACATGTTACGAGCAGTGACGATTTCTTACCAAAAACAATATTACGCACACCAAAAAAAAAAAAAAAAAACCAAAGAATAAAGAAGCAATCGCAAATGAAGTGTGCGTCCAGATCGATCGGTTGGGTAGGGTACGTATTACGAGTCTAGACTTTAGACTTTAATTGTGTGATATGTTAACGTTATGGCTAAAAATATGTTACTCAATTAATAAAACAAATGAGAATGGGTGCGTGTTACGAGTGGTTGTACCCAATCAGTCTTATAATTGACAAAATATGTTAAATTTTTCATGTGTATCGATTAGCTCACATTATTATTAGTATATGTGTTTATTTGTTTTCGTGTGTATAAATTAGTATCGAATCACGTTAGCTCACGGTGATATCATTTAACAATAACTAGATTATATACATTGTTTTTTTTAAAAAGGGAGCTTCATTATGGTCTTAATACGGTGAACCAAACCTCAGCCATTATTTTTTAAAGATACGACCGTACGTTGAGATCTATTTTGAGAATATTAACAGCTCGACTTGTCGACAAAAATAATAAGAAACAACTCAGACTTGTATAACTTTTGCATATTCCGATAACTTCCATTGCTTGTGCGATCACGAACGTTTTCCTAATAGTTAATTATACCATGCAAGAGTAGAAACGTTGTCAGCTTCTAGTCTTATAGCATTAAAGAAATTACGCAATATATCTGTAAAGATTATATATCAAGATTAGGAGTTACGATTTTAATACTTATTCCTAGACAATATTTTGCCGGACACCATACAACATTTTTAAAAGTAACAAAAACTTAAACCATTGATATACAAACTACAATATAAAGTTTCCTAACGCCCAATGGCTATGAATGTTAATGGCGTAGTCGATAACTATTATTTAAACATGAAACTTAATAAAAGGAAAATATTCTAAATTTGTACTGCTTTAAGGACCAAAAGGGGGGGGGGGGGAGGGGGGCTATTTCAAGAGTTTCTACTGATTCTTGGGATCAATATTTATTTTAACCTTCTTTTTCTGGTTTTCCATATATTAGAAAAATGGCATTTTGTGGAAAAGCCTATGCTCTAATTACCATTAGTTTTTTCGTAAACTAAGATGCTCGGTTCCCTATGTTAACGAGTACTGCTTACTGCTTAATATCATCTCAAGAATATATCATAAGAATGAGACGATCCTTAATTGATCAATCGCGCAAAATCTATTTGTAGTATAGTAATAAAAAAAACACACACACACACACAATTTTCTAGAAATCATAATTCGTATTGATTCTTGCAGATATTTTCACTCATAAAGAATCAACAGTATGAAGCAAACTAGATAAATTTTGTGTGTATGTTTGGGAAAAATAATCATACAATTTCAAAGCCAAGCGGACGCAATCGCAATAGCCAGTGGAGTAGAAGTTACGATTCAATCTTATCGAAAGAAAGGATTGAGTTGTCTCTTCATCGGACATACATTGATTTGCCTCCTCCAGCATACATTACAACCTTGCAATTTCAGTTTTGGCTCTCTCGACTTATGTAGATGACTTGTTGATGGATAGATACTATTATTGCACATGGATTTATTAAGTATTTGACGTATAGTTTGTATTAGCAGTTTGTATAAAACAAGGGTGGGTGATAGTTCTCTTTATATTTTTTAAAAAATTTGAGTGATAGTTTGTGTTTCCTTAAAATAAATAAACACAAAAACGACTACATATTTACTTATGATGTACAATCAAGTAATAGTTTTGTCATTAATTTTTGTGCATTTGACAATAGCGATGAACGGTTAGTTATATGTTTATATACTTAACTCTTTGATGTGTAAATATGGGAACAAAAGTTCATTTTATTAAGTTGAAAATGTAACCAATGTTCTTATTTTACATGTCCCCAAGATTATTTCATCATTAGTCTTTATTCCGTAAATAGAAAATACGAAACGGAATTTTGAAACGCCCTTACAATCGATGTTAGGTCATAATATACATGCATGGTAAATGGCCAGTGCCCCTCCGATAGAACACAAGGCCAACGAAAAGGCGATATTACACACCAAATCTTTATATTTTATGTTATGTCTCATATAATATAATAAATAAAGATTATATGATTATGTTCGTGTAACTCTACCAACAAAAAGATCTCCATTTGATTAAAGCGCTCGCATTATACTCCTTTCTAACGCCACAATTAATTATATTATATATGTATTTTTGGTGGTTTAGAATTGTTTTATTATTATGGGTCTAGTACCAAATCTCTCGAAGGAGCAGCAATATAAATCCTATCTTGCCGAACTATCCAATTTCTGTGACGCATGTATAACAAACAAATAAACAAGTACACTATGTGACGACAATTTTTGTAACATTTTTTAAATTCAAAACTGCATATAAGTATATTATATAAAAATATATTAACAAGGAATATATGCTGAAAATAATGCAAATACGACACTTAACAAACTGATTACTTAATAAATACTAATAATCGTTGACATGATATTCATAAAATTATGTTTTTTAATCGTAACTAAAACTTGTAATGGACACTGGGATAATATATGGTATATACGCAATTTAAAAATATTAAGCGTGATTGTTGGACCGATCTTTACATGTTATTGGGCTAAATTGGATTCACATATAAAAGATACGGATTCATCTTCTATTTTCCTTTTTGGTGTTATTAATTTCTTGATTGAACAGCAAATAAAGCTTAGACTATCTCTAGTCCTAGAAATTTCGAAACTATATATAGTCTTCTAAACTTTATTACCTGAAACTGCACCATCACCCCCTAGACCACGTAATCCCACCGTCACCAACATTACAGTTAACACCCACCAATGCAAACACGAGCCAAAAATATAATTTCTAAACCGAGCTCTCACTCACTGCATCCTTCTCAGAATCTACCTTTAGCGAACCAATGATAGTTTTTCTAGTGACGAAGGATCTGGATTGAAAGACAAGTTATGTGTGAGGAGTTTGATGCATTAGTCAGTGAAACATGGGTATGGTTAACTACTTATCGCAAACTTATAATCTTGTGGGTTGTTGTAAATAGGTTTTCAAGACAACATCTTTGATCTTTCTAATGGTTGTTTTAACCGGTAAGAAAAGAAACGTACGACATATTGGAATTTGCCTTCCGAAAGATGAAGCAGACTATTTTTCTTTCCACCTCAAACAGAATCAGTTCTAAAAAGAAACATAAGACAGAGAGAGACACGTTATAAAGTGAAAACAATGTAGTATCCGCATAATAAATTTTAAAACAAAAACCGTCTAACAAAATAAAAATACAAGTCCTGTTTTTGTATTTTCCGAAGTGAGATTAACTTTTTTGCTTTTAGCAAAGTGAGATTCTCACAATTATAAAAAGAAAAGGAAATAAAAAAAAACAGAGATAATTTGAAAAATGGTTGAATTGCACTTAAGATTGTGGTTTATTTGAAAAATATAAACAATAATAACCAAAAATGTGGGAATATACCGAAACTGTTACTTTAATATGTGGGAAAAGACGGGCAAGCGGTTCGATACGACAATAGGATGAAACTTGAAAGAGGCCAAAGTTGCAATGGACGGTCCCGTCTTCATTTCCCGAATGGTCTTGCCTTAAGCAAAGATGGTTCGTTCGTGCTTTCATGTGAGGTTCCAACGCAACTTGTGCATCGATATTGGGTTATGGGTAAGGGGCTAAAATCAGGGAGCCGCGCGTGACATTATTCGTGAAGCTCCCTGGCTATGCTGATAACATTAGAAGAACTGAGACAGGGGATTTCTAGGTTGCCTTGTATTCCAAGAAAAATCCATTTTCTAGGTTTTCCATGATCCAAAACTCTTCGTGAAGACGTTAAAGATGGAGCTGTTGGTTTTTCTTTTCGAAGGAGGAAAGCCTCACGCTGTCGCTGATTATATGGAGATTCTTGAGGATAGTGAAGGGAAGAATATGAAGTTTATAAAGCAAGGTTCAAGAAAAAGATGGGTAGGCTCTGGTTTGGGTCTGTGTTTCTTCCTTCGGTTTGGGTTCTGGACCGTCAATGATATAAACCAGCAAAATTACAATATTTAAGTTTATCAGTTTGTGGCGTAATTAGTGGATCTTTCTCTTATAATAACACTTTCTGTATGTGTGTGGTTTGATGATAATTAAACATTTTAATTTTGAAGTATTTGCTGTATCCGGTTAGATATGCTTTTTAAAAAATACCTCAAACAGAACTTATATATATGAATGTCACTTTCTTAAAAAAATAATAATAATAAGAAACTTTACAAGAAATTCGGAATTGGTGAGTCTACTGTCTACTGACCGGCCTGCGCAGTCCACCAAGCATGCACCAAACATGAATGGTACTTAAGGTAGAATTAGAGTGGGATATTTGTAAACAGGAGTTCACACTTCTTTTTTAGATTTCTTCCTGTAATTGGTTCTGATGTTTTTGGAGGCATTTCACAGAAAATTCCTAAAATTATCAAAAAAAAAAATGGTCAGAAGGCAAAAGAACGAATAGGTTGCCGAGTGGGGCTCACGCAGTTGCTTCTGCTGCCCACTGCCCTCTTCTCCTGTCAATTCATTTCCTCTAACTTCTTTTGTCTGTTATTTTTGTGGTTAAAAATGTAAATGTTTCATCCTTTATACATATGTACTCTCTATACATTCAAACCAAAAACTTAATTTTATTATTTGCTACATGTCAAATTTTTAATGTATAATCAAACAAAAACATTTATTTATTTTTTCTATCGCAATTCAAACAAAACCATTTATATTATAGTCTTGTTTAAAAAAATTCTAAATTTTTACGTTTTCTCAATTCTCATAACAAAACTTTCGATTTTTTTTTTCTGCAAAGCAAAATATACTTTTCCATAAATTATGTGGTTGAATAACAATTACACTTTACCTAAATTTGTAAAACTGATTTTGGGAAATAAATAAAAACAGAGTGTCGAGAAGATATAGTCCCAAAACAATGAAGTGTTCCCTCAATTTCCGCCGTTTGCAAGCAAATCATACTATTTACATGTAAAACATGCCTAATGAAATGTTTCGTTGCACCTAGTTAGAAGAGTTAATTATATTAAGAATGATATCTTTCAACAGAGAAAAAAATAAACATGAAAAAAGAAAAAAAGAATTACAGATCCACAAATCCCAAAGGAGTGCACATTGACACGAATTCGACATGTATTGGAAATTCTATTTATTATTTCTGACACCTTATATAGATATATATATATATATAAGAATTAACTCTTTACCACACAACAAAGAAAGACATAAAACGAAAACATAAGAATGGTGAAGCTCCTCTTCTTGTTGGTGGCGATATCATTCGTTCTTCTCTTTAGCCTCACCGATTTTTCAGGCGAGAGTCCAAAACATGGAGAGTCTATGATGTCTGTCCATTTGCCTGATTTCCGTCTTATCCCGACCACTGGAGCTTCCGGACCGGAGAGTTTTGTTTTCGATATCTCCGGCGATGGTCCTTACACCGGTTTATCTGACGGTCGAATTGTTAAGTGGCTAGCTAATGACAGCCGTTGGATCGATTTCGCCGTCACCACCTCAACAAGGTACGACTAACTCTCTCTTTCTCTCTCTTTTTTGTTTGTTACATATCATTTGGATATTTTTTGTTTCGTCGTTTATATTGTGTGGTTTTAACTCCTTCAATTGTATCCACCAACTTCTTCTGTCCCATCAAAATTATTGACTTGTTTGATTATCAGAAGTACAAAATAGTTACCTCCTTTTGTGTAAAATGATAAGATTTGCGTACCTTCTTCGCTCTTTTGTATTTCTAACAATGAAGGAATTTACTTAAAATTAATTTATTACAGTTAGTTATCATTCCCGACCAATGATGAATGATGAATGGTACTTCTTTTGTTTCTGCTTATGTACTTCAACTTTCACGTGGTCAACTTGGTTATTGTTTATAAATCTGCAGACAAAAACTTCTTTCTCATTCACAATCTTGTAATTTGGGCATGCATGTGAAGTTCCCATTTTGGGGGATTCTAAAACTCCATTGCATGTGCTTTTATATATAGATGTAACTCTTTGGTTTTCTCTTTTCTATGAATATATCTTCCATGCGTATTGGTGAAACGTTCTAGTTTGTTTCCAAGAAATGTAAATTAAATGCTGACAGGTAAAGAAATAGTGACAAAATAATATAATCATAATGCATCGTTTACTAATGAGTAAACTACCTCTCTTTTTTCTTTTCTTTTTTGTTACAGAAAATAAGCAATGTGTTTTTGACAATTTGGTGGTCCAAATTTGCTAGCAAATACAATTCTGACACATTTCACATAGGTTAAAATATATTTTAAAATAAATACAAATATGTCTATATATATATAGTTAACACCAAATTAATATGGTGATGTGACTTGAATAAGTTTAAAAATGATTAGCTTCGAGTAAAAGATAAATTAGAAATGTTGTTTGAAAAATTACATTATATATGACAGATAAAGCTGTCATTTAACCTCAAGGTCTGAACTAATTTTAATAGCCGAGATCGTTTCTAATGGTGATGAGGATAACAAACACTTCATTGGCAATTTATGACTTTGATTCTTCAATGCATGCAGAGAAGGTTGCGAGGGACCGCACGAGCACCAACGAACTGAGCACGTGTGCGGACGACCTTTGGGCCTTGCCTTTGACAAATCGACTGGTGACCTCTATATCGCTGATGCTTATATGGGCCTTCTAAAAGTTGGCCCAGAAGGAGGTCTAGCCACACGCGAGCTGGATGAGCCTCTCCGATTTACCAACAGTTTGGATATCGATCCACGTACCGGAGTTGTCTACTTTACCGACAGTAGTTCGGTTTATCAACGGAGGTATATTATTTTCTGATAAAGTTTTTTTTTTTCTGCTAAAGTTGATCATCATCTTAAATTATTAGAAATACTTATTAAGAGCGTTTTCTGTTGATTTTAAAATATATCAGGAATTATATAGGGGCGATGATGAGTGGAGACAAAACCGGTAGACTAATGAAGTACGACCCAAATACGAAACAAGTGACCACTCTCTTAAGCAACCTAGCGTTTGCCAACGGCGTCGTTCTAAGCCAAAACGGTGATTACATTCTCGTCGTCGAGACAGCCACATGTCGGATCCTACGTTACTGGCTCAACGACACGTCTTCCACGACGACTCCTGAATCGCGCGGTAACTACGAGTTTTTCGCGGAGAGGCTCCCTGGGTTTCCCGACAACATTAAGAGGAGTCCACGTGGCGGATACTGGGTAGGTTTGAACACAAAACACTCGAAGCTGACAAAGTTCGCCATGTCGAACGCGTGGTTAGGACGCGCCGCTTTGGGCCTGCCTGTGGACTGGATGAAGGTCCATTCATACTGGGTCAAGTACAAAGGGAACGGCATGGCCGTGAGGTTGAGCGAGGGTAGTGGCGTAATTTCAGAAGTTTTCGAGGGTAAAAATGGGAATAAGTGGATGTCTATCAGTGAGGTGGAGGAAAAAGATGCAACTCTTTGGGTTGGATCGGTAAATACTCCTTTCGCTGGCATGTATAAAATTTGACTAGCATCATAATAATAATTCATACATAGTCACAAGTTATGCCCTTTAATTTAACTCATGATTTTATAGTACAAGCACTTGTTATTATTTCGTAAAATTTTAGGATTCTATATTTCTAAGTCGACATAGTTTCAAATTGAGCTCTAGCTACATGCTTGATCATAATTAACGCAAAAGGAAGTACTTATAATATCCATTATTGATATTAGAACAGTTGATATTATTTATAACATCCACGAGAAAACAACTACATAACAAAATACATATTATACGAACCTAGATGCGGTTTTTATTTATTGAGCTCAAGGTACCTTCTTAGAGATTAGGCACTATTTTCTCTTTTATTTTGACATACGTAGTTATAGTGATTAACCATGCATTGCATGCATACAAACATAGAGTTTGTGTTACACGCCAAATCATGGCTTAGATTCTTCCTTCTTATTCTCTCCTTCCGTGGCCATCGGCTGGGACTCAACAGTTTCCATAACTTCGTTGGCCTCAGCTTGACTTCTGCAACAGTAGCTGCACCGTCCATGCCACCACCCGCAGCATCCATACCAACAACCACCACCACGTCGCCCACCACCACCACCACCACGCCGGCCGCCGCCACCGAAACCCTGTTGAGGGTCAACAACGTTGGCCTCAACAGCCTCGGCCTCGGGCTCCACAGCTTGGGGTCGTCTGCAACAGTATCTGCACCGTCCATTCCACCACCCACCGCAACATCCGTACTGACAATAACCACCACCACCACCCCCACCCCCACGCCTGCCGCCGCCACCGAAACCCTGTTGAGGGTCAACAACGTTGGCCTCAACAGCCTCGGGCTCGAAAGCCTCGGGCTCCACAGCTTGGGATCGTCTGCAACAGTATCTGCACCGTCCATTCCACCACCCACCGCAACACCCGTACTGACAATAACCACCACCACCCCCACCCCCACGCCTGCCTTGCTGGGGGTCTATGACATCGGTTGCTTCAGCACTTCGCTTCACTTCATCCGTAGCTACACCTGTGATATACAGTTTATACACCATGGATTATATATTCGGTCATTATTATGCGAAAGAGTACGTACAATGGTATAAGATATATATTTGTACATAAACATATTACCATGTGTGGCATCGGTTGATGTATCCGCAAAAACAGCGAGGGAGAGACAAAAGAGCAAAGCCAAGAGAGCGAGAGACTTGAAGGTTCTCATGTTTTGTTTTAGTTACACAGAATAGAACACTTAGCTAGCTTGTTCGGTTTGTTGAGGATATGACTTTTTTTTTAGTGAAGACTGTATGAGCATAGCACATCTATTTATAGTTGGCCAGCAAAACTTGGTGACAAGAAACCAGTCAATTATGTTGTGTGGGGGAAGATAAATGACATATTTATGGATTTTTTAAACGTTTTATAGAAAAATTAATAAATATATCATATATTATGATGGAGTAGAGTCTAAATTAAACTTTGGTTTTTTGGTTTTGCGAAAGTAGAGTCTAATGAACTGATCGAGTAAGATTATATAGAAGCTTTGATGCTATATGAAATGTTTCAAGTTTTCTCGTCTAGTTAAGCTTCGGGAGGATGGATATTTTCTATTCAAAATTCATAATGTTAACATCTATAGCTCTTTTGTCAATTTATATTATATCGAATACTACTCTTTTTTACTAATTGTGAAAGCATTTTGCAATTCGAAATATATAACACCGTAAAATGTGATGATGAAAAAACGAAAAAAACAAGTATATTTATTGCATACTTGCAAGCATTTCCAATTAACATCGGAAATATATCATAGTGTCGCGACTCACGTTTTATGTTAGCAAAATTGCACCGTCTCCATTTCTTAAAGGTAAATATGTTTCTTCATTGTGGACAACAGACACTGTAGCTCGGAAACAAAAAAAAAAAACTTAAGTTGTCATATTTTGCAAATAGTCAGATCAGATTTGAATACCATAAACGGATAAAATTGTTTTACTTTTATATAATCGATGTCACGAATATAAATAACACAACAAAAGAATAATTGATTTTTTGGTCACTACTCACTAGTCAACAAATAAAATAAAACTCACAACTTCAACGGATAGTGATGCTGTTTTGTCAGCTATATTGGACATATATGTTCCACACTGCTAATAGTATATCTTTATAATTTAAGTAAACACATAGAAATACTACACAAAGAGTTAATAATTAATTTCTTATCTAACTTCTTAAATTTATACATACAAATTATACAATCTGATTCTGTTTATTCGCTATTAATGTATACTGAATAGTAAAATATTTCATTTTCAAAAAGAAATTGTTAAATTTAATATATTTAAATATTGACAGGTTAATGATAACAAAAAAGAGATAATCATATGTTTAGTTTAATCGGCTAGAAAAGACTTGAGATAGTCTGGGATCAAACTCAAATTAACACTATACATTAACATAAATTTTGTTTCTCGGTTACTGCTTAATTAAAAAAAATAATAATAACAATTCAAAGACCCATAACGAAAGAGTTGAACGTTGAAAACCATTTCAAGCATCGAAAGGTTCAACACTAAACTCTTCTCTGTGATTCCATGTGTAAATGCCATGCTCTCTACATAATCTATGGTGCTTACACGTGTCCAACAGTAGTCACAAAGTTCCTACTCTTGGACTTCAAACTCACCGTTCGAAATGATAATGTTTAGCTTCTATACATTCCAAAAACAATGGCACAATCCCAATTCAAACTCTTCCTTATTTTGGAAATATCACTAAAACTGATCTAAATGAAGGAAAACATATGACCGGACTGGTATGGTATGGTATAGACGATGGAACTTGAAATGCCACTACTTAGACCAAATTCAACATTAATTCGCCTGATGAAGTAACCGGACCAGACCATTATTATCTAAGCACATCGAAGCCACCATATTCATTACAAAACGTTACTATATTTTTTTCTTTTCTTTTTAATCCTTTTTTTTTGTGGGTATAAAACGTTACTACATTAACTTTTCCTTCCTTGATGAACCCCTGATCTTGATCTTCCTTTTATTGTTATTTTCTTTAAAAGATTGATACAATATACAGTAATTGAAATGAATTATGCTCCAAAAACTATTGATATGTTGTTGTAATTACCTTCTACTAGAAAAGGGTTAAATAAAAAAACAAACTTGACTGGAAAGAAAACACAATCATCCTAGCATTTCAATACGTTTGAGTGGACCGTATTCTAGATGCGTGATTAAAATTACAAAATAGTTGTCTCTCGTGGTAAAAGAATATTGACTGAACTGTTTTACGGAGAAATTTTTATCAATTAAAACAATTACAAAAAAAAAAAAAAAAATCGGACGTGACCCCCTCCTCCGCATTATGATATTTTGATGAAGTCATATCATGTGGAGTTGTTGACTATGATCAGTGATCACGCATCTATCCATTATTCTTACGTACGTGTAACAACTAACAAATTTGTTATAATAGCAACACTGAAGATTTTGGAAAGCATTCACAATATTTCGGAAGACATTGGACAACAACGACCGACAGATCTACCTACACTTGCTCCATCACAAGATCTTTACTTTTATTTTTAATTCTAATTCATTGCATGCATATTCGCATGAGTTAAACAAAATTTAGTAATCTATCATCTGGTCACATCACCACTAAAATTGCAGACCAATATAGTTGTAACAAGTCGTAATAACACATAAACATAAGCGTTTAAGTTTCCTAAAGAAAACTTTTGTAAACTGCAGACCCTGTTGAATTCTGTAATGGGAGAATTAATCATATGTCAAAAACAATAACAAATGTAGAGTCGTTAGTTAGCTCAATCGGGTCGAATCTAGAGTTATGCTGTAGAGTTTAGAGGAAATCGGATAATCTTAATTCATAAGTTATTGATCCGGTAATTAAAGTAGAACTTCTTGATTAGAAAAATAAAAATAAAAATAAAAAGCTAGTAAAAGCAGAAAGCACCCGGTTTCATTTAACATAAGAAAACAAAGTTGAGAAATATCGAATACTATTAGATTTGTAATTACTTATCAAACGAACGACGTTACGTCTTTTTTGAGCATTGGTGCAATATAATGACACTCAAAATTTGGTGCAATATAATGGCACTCAAAATTCTCCTTCTCCACAATGGGTCCAATTATGTTTTCCTTATCATCATCAGACTTTTCTAATCTTCTTTTGATATATCATGATGAGATCTTAAACATCATAAAAATTATCATCTATGTCAATGTCGTATTTGTATATCCGAAACTAACGAGAATTATTGAGAAGTACGTATAGTATTATTATGAAAAAAGAAAAGAAAATCAACTCAATTTGAAATCTTAATCTTGTTTGGTTTCTTTCACAAAATCATCATCAACAAACAAGTAATGTTAATTCCGAAGCTTCATACATATATAAAAATCTATGAACGGCCTCCCTAATAACTAGTGTCTTCTAACCCTAAAAATATGTAGAAAACGGTCTTGTGTCAGCAATTGAAGATAAGAGTACGTCTAAAGGTCCTTAAAGGATCCGATATATCCTCAAAATTCAAAGAAACACTAAACCCAAATCTGACTTTGTGTGTTCTTCTTCTTCTATACGAAAATTAACCACAAGAAAAAAGCAGAGAACATACATTATCTATAAGTTGGGTCTTTGTCAGTAATATGGTCAATCAAAATGATCCATTAAATGGGGCCTAAAATTATACACTTTAATCGTGTGGCCCATATTTGTCAAACATGTAGGCCCGTTTTGTTAATTTCTAAGCCACGTATTTTGTCTATGAGGTCCCTCTAAATTGACCGTTTCGTCATTTGTATCCTTATATTAATTTGCATGGCACATAATTGGTCAGGACAGCAATTTTCTTACTTTTTCTCTTATGAATGATTTAACTTTTATCCAAAATGAAAGCTTAAACGTTTTCCCACATAATAATTGTCTGTGTCGTTATATAACACTAAGACTACCTGACGACATACCCAAACATAAACTAAAAAATGTGAATAATAATCATCGTATGCGTCAATTCCTTGTATTGGCTAATTTTGAAGTTTCAAAGAGATTAATATATCATCAATCAGACAAGTAGAAGTCTGTATTGTTTAAGGATGAATAATTGTGTATAATCATACATTATATTATAGGATAAAATAAGGCTACTTTTTTTTTATGATTGGTCAAGAACATAACTTTAATCTGGATCTGAACTTTGAAAACCAACGTTCCAAACCCTATCATTTGATGTGGGATAGAGACAGTAACATGGCTTTTATTTGTTGTTATAAAAACTTGTAATGATGTAGCCACTAATAATATGCCACATCATTAGTTCCTCTGATTAACGGATTAGAAGAAAAAACAACTCGAAGCGGATAATAATGATACGAAAGGGTATAATTGTAATAACATTATCTTTCTTGGGTAAAAGATTCTCTCCGCACACGCCTTTCTTCTGCTTTTAATCGCGTTTATAATCCCGAGACGACAACGGGAGCAAAATCATCATAGAGCTACGATGGCGTTACGAATCAGGAAGGCGACGACACTTCTCTTCTCCGGTGGGATCACTCAGGGTGCGAATCGGATGGCGAGAACCGGAGCATTGCTCAGCCGTTGGATCTCCTCTGCTTCATCATCTTCAGCTGTCGTGGCGGAGGATGATTCCGGTGGGGTTTACGGATTGGGGAGTGTTTTGAAGGAGTACGAAGATTATAGGAGATCTCTCTATGGTGAGATCACGCACAAGGCTTTGCTTGTTGATGCTGTTGGTACTCTCCTTGTTCCCGCTCAACCTACTGCTCAGGTCTGTCTGATATATCTCTGCTTGACTCAATCATTACACAAATGCTTACGGTTTTACTATAATGTGAATATATTTAGTGGAATTGATGTTTGGTTCTGAGTACGGTTTGATCAATTTGAAAGCGATTGATGCTTATTGTTTTGAGTTTTGTCATGTTGGAAATGTGAGATGCTTACTATATGATCTCTGCTTGTTCCTATAATTATTAGAATGGAAGTTTCAATGTGTGAATTCTGATTTGTGTTAGAGATTTTTGAATCTGTAGATATACAAGAATATTGGAGAGAAGTATGGAGTTGAGTTCTCGGAGGCTGAGATACTTACTAGATACAGAAGAGCTTATCAGAAGCCATGGGGCGGATCTCACCTTAGGTATCAATCAATTATCAACTATCCGAAGCTAAAGGGTTGAGTATCTGTGGGATTAAATAAATGTGTGGTGTTCTTGATCATTGATTCTTTGTTTACAGATATGTAAATGATGCGAGACCTTTCTGGCAGTATATAGTGACTGCATCAACAGGCTGTTCGGATTCTCAGTACTTTGAAGAGCTTTACAGCTATTTTACTACAGAACATGTTTGATCTCTGTTTTACAGCTATTATACTTGATGAACGCGTTGAAGTTTGTAACTATCTCTTGATATCTATTTATCCTATTTGTTTTATCAGGCGTGGAAGTTATGTGATCCAGATGCAGAGAAAGTGTTCAAGGCTATTAAAGGAGCCGGTGTAAAAGTTGCCATTGTGTCCAACTTTGATACTCGTTTAAGACCCCTACTACGAGCACTGAGATGTGAAGACTGGTTTGATGCTGTAGCTGTTTCAGCAGAAGTAATAAAATTTCTTTTCTTATGTTTTTTTGTTGATGATCTGAAATGTTTTGTGAGTGAGTTTGTATATACAGTACTAAAGGTTTTTGGTTAATTGTTTTGCAGGTTGAAGCAGAGAAACCAAACCCGACTATCTTCTTAAAAGCTTGTGAGTTATTAGGAGTGAACCCTGAGGATGCGGTTCATGTAGGAGATGACCGTAGGAATGATGTATGGGGTGCTAGAGATGCGGGCTGTGACGCTTGGCTATGGGGAAGTGAAGTTACTTCCTTTAAACAGGTAACGAATCTCTCTGATTTCCTCTACTCAAGAAAGAGTTGAAACTTATTATTGTTAATTGAAGCGGAATGTGTTTTTTTGTTGGTACTGCAGGTTGCTCAACGGATAGGAGTGAAGGTCTGAAGTAAAGCATATGAGAGAAATGGTTCAGACATGTTCAGGCTTCAGTTTTAGCTTTTGTGTTTCCTGAGCAGTTTTGTATATTTGATTTCTCTTTTGTAGTATGTGTATGTATTATGTTGTTGCTTGTGTTTAAAAAAAAAAACAGAAAATGATGTTTTCTGTGATCAATAAAGCTTCGTGATCACTGTTGACCCGAACAGAAGTCTTTGTACAGTACGAACAAAATACCAAAAGTTGCAAACTATCAGTAGACAAATACATAGGAAAAAGAAAAATCAGTGGACAAATACAATATAGAGAAACCTAATCAATCTAACTATCAACAGTATGCTCCAAATTGTTGACAAATCGTTCACATTCTAGAGATACAAATACATACTTACATTCGAAATTAAAAGCGAGTAAATTTTGAGTCATTTATTTTGGTGTCGTCATTGTCCTACCGCACAAACATTAAAAACAAAAAGAATGCAGCCCATTATCTTACATTACATCCTTTAAAAAAGCCCATTTAGTTATTTGGTATACATAAACTAGGGCCACCTAACTAGAAAACTAAAGAAACAATCACAAGTAGTAGCATCTCTATTTTATCCCGTCCATGGATAGAATAGAATCTAAGGCTTTTGACCTGACCGAGATGACCGGAGTTGACCTAATAAGAAAATAGCTTTAGCGACGATAGCCATTACAACAATACACAATATAAACTCTAGTTAATATACTTAAATAAGTCATTAATGTTATATATTAGACAGATTACAACAATACACGCACTGCGTTTGTAAATATGATTACTGGGTCACTATTCCACGTGATCCGCACGAGCTTCTGAGTAGTTCCCGTCCACCAAACCCGTGTCTCCATGTGTACCTCTCAGTGTCTGTCTCTTTCTCTTCCAGCTGCATCATCATAATATATATATTTTTTTTTGAGACAAACATCATAATACATTCTCTATATATGTCAAAAAATGTTATTGTATGAAATTTACGGATACCCCAACTCTGTATCTCTATTTATAAAAATAATATTTTTTCTTCTTTAACTGTTACCGTTGTTAGCTAAATAGTTTGCTTATCATATCGAATCTATATTTAATCACATCAGAAAACAGATATTTAGATTTCCTGGTTTATAACTTACTAAGTTCACATTTTCACTCAAACAGTTACACTGATGTGAACTATTACGTTTCAATGAAAACATTAAGCTTCCGCCCCCCCCCCCCCCCCCCCACCCCCAAAAAAAACGAAAACAATAGAGATTGTGATATCTCTACACTATGGTATAAATTATAAATTGCATGAATCCGTAGGTCAACAGGTGATTGTTGGGACATGCTCCTGCTTGGGGAAAAAGTGTTCAACCACGTGTCAACGCACGTCCACTCTCGACCTCATGTATTTTTTTAATTTACAACACATAAATACATACATTTATATTATACAACACAGAGTTATATTTCTTTATTTTATTTTTTCTTGTATCCGTGTGTGTGTGTATACATATAAATTGGGACATAAATAATCCAACTACCTCACCAGCATAATCCTAACTGAAACAGCTTATAGAGAGCCTTTTAACTCTAATCTAAAACTCTAAAAAATGTGTGCACTTATCCCTTCATTATTTCCCAGTTTCGGCTGGCCTTGCGGAGATCATAGCTTCTACGAAAACGACGACCTAACGAACGCGTTTCTTGATTTTCCATTGCCGGACTTGACGGTGGCTCATCAGAATGTGTTGCCGGAGAAAAATAGAACATTACTAGACAATCCCGTGGTGATGAGGAAGCTTAATCACAACGCCAGCGAGCGTGATCGTCGCAAGAAGATCAACTCAATGTTCTCGTCTCTTCGTTCTCGTCTTCCGCCTAGCAATCAATCGGTAACCACTAGCTAGTTTTCAGATTTATTATTTTTCTACTTCTTTTATAAACTTCTGTAGAAAAACAAGAAACGTATAAATATTTACTCGTTAAACATTGAAATAACTCAAAATATCAAATGTTTTAGTGCAAATTCTTAAACCAGCTTCTTATATATATGCATGTTCTTTTTGCTATTTCGATGTTGATCAGAGTAGTTATATTTGTTATGTTTCTCTAAAGCAAACGAAAAAAAAAAAATACACAAAATCGGCCTATCTATATTAATATAAGAAAACTGAACGATGTATGTTCTGTGTGAATTTCTTGCAGAAGAAGTTAAGTGTTTCCGCAACAGTTTCACAGGCACTGAAGTACATACCAGAGCTGCAAGAGCAAGTTAAGAAGCTCATAAAGATGAAGGAAGAGCTGTCGTATCAAATCTCGGGTCAAAGAGATCTCGTTCACACCGAGCAAAATGGTAAGCCAGAGAAAGGGGTCACAAGTTATAGATCAGCAGTTTCTGCGACTAGGCTCGGTGAGACCGAAGTGATGGTTCAAATATCATCGTTAGAGACTGGCAATTTTTCGTTTGGGAATGTGTTGAGCGGTGTAGAGGAAGATGGGTTGGTTATTGTGGATGCTTCTTCTTCAAGGTCTCAAGGAGAGCGACTCTTTTATACCTTGCATCTTCGGATGGATAGTTGCAAGCTAAATTCCGAAGAGCTAAGTGATAGGCTGTGTTTCTTGTACGAGAAATGTGACAATTCATGTAAATGATCAATAATAAATGATGCCATTTGTTCGTTTTCCTTGTCTCCCTTTAAAACTCGAAGTTCTTTATAAATAGTATATGAACATTCTGCATACGCAAGAAGGTTTAGTAAGCATACAAGTCTTTGACTTGAAGCCAGAAGATTTAACAACCTTCAAGGGAGAGAAAATGGCTACAAATTCACGTATGGAGAAACCATGGCGATAGTTTTTGTACATCTAGTAAATGTGTTGTGTGCAACATCTATTTATGAATTTATCTATGTATGTTCTATGAGCATATGCGTGTACAGATCACACATATGGACACTAATTATCTTAATTTTATAACAAAGGAATGATCTGAAGTCATTTTTGTTACCTTTTGATTCACACAACTTATTGATGATGAAACTCACTGTTTTTTTTTTTTTGGTAGAATGAAACTCACTGTTTAAATACACATCCCAACGATATTAGAATAGTTCAGAACCTGATCTTAAATTAGGCGAATGATCGATTTTGGGCCTTAATTGGATAGATAATTTTGGCCCAGTTTTACTAAGTATTAAATATTTGTCTTCTTTTTCTTTTTTCTTAATCTTAATCTTAATCTTAATCTTAATCATCTTAATCTTACCCTTACTTGTCTTTTTAATAACCAAAAATGGCATGCAAAAGGGAATAATAACTTTTAATTTTTCTCTGGGTAGACTGCATCAACGAAGCTGTAAAGCCTTACAACCACCAAGTTGAGAACGAGCAGACCAAATAAAAAAGGAAACTACTTAAAATAGAAAAAAATATTGTAAAACAACCAAATTGTCAAATAATAATACCAAAGAAATGCCAAATCCACGGGAAAGCATATAAACCAGTGCTGTTAGGTGCAATGCATCCTCCATATTTCAAACTTGTATGATGAATTATAATTTCTAGATTTTTTTTTTTTTTTTTTGGTTGCTGGCACCACCAACTTGCTTTACTATCTCATTAAATTCAGCAAATGCTCTATTTTTTTTTCATTAATATTTATCATCTTTTTTTATATTGCCACACTGAAGATTTAAAACCATTATTAAACCATCATCAACTTTGTAGTGCGATACATAATTTTTTTTGAAGGGAATTAAAATTGGCTAGTTGTAAAATTATATTAAAATATTATCACTTAAATAAAATTAGTTATATAGTTTTTATTCCCTCTATATGTATTTTTTTCCTGTCCATTTAATTCGAATCAGTTGTTCCTGCTACAGTACTACCTATCATTATAATTTCTTCTATTTTACAATATATTTTAGTTAAATACTAGTATGAATTTTTAATTTTAAATACTATAAGTCACTGTTTTATTTTAATAATAAGTCTAATTGTGATTATTATTATTATTATTATTATCTGAAGAGGGAGAATTTAAGACAAAGGACCTCATTGGGAACTCCAAAAACAATGTACAGAAAAGTACATCAGCCTCCGGTCTCCGTCAACTTACCTATAACATCTAAAATAGTAGCTTTGGGGGATGTTCATGTTCATGCATCTACCCTTTTTCTCTCGTTGCTTGCAGTAAAATACTTATTTTCTTAAGCTTTTTTATTCTTCTTCCAGAAGTTTCAGTCAGTACAACTAGTAATAATAATAATGATTTAACTCGATTAAATATGAACGAAGAAAAATAGAGAGAGAGAGAGGCCAAAACAGTAATCATTATAGACAGAAGAGGTAACAATTATGGTTGAAGCAAAGCAAAGGACGAAAGAGATCAGTGAAAACAAAGGCAAAGGACTCAGGACTCAGGAGTAGTGTGAGATTAGTTTATTTGATTACTTGAATCAAGACATAATATCAGTTTCACAGCTGTGACCTGAAACCGGCACTTTGGAATTTTACCCTTTTTTGCACATTTCCTGACATGTATTTGTTGTCTTGTATCCCTCCTACTTCTAATTGCAAAATCTAACTCCCGATTTTATTCATTTAGTCTTTTTAACTCTTCTCAAGTGGGGTTTTATTGTTTGTTTATTCTAACTTGACCCTTTTGTTACTTTGGACAGGGTCAATAATAGGGTGTTTATACACATTCTTCGACAAAAAAAAAAAAGTTAAAACAGTAATACTATTACCACTAATCAAACCACTAAAAAAATATATTATATGTTTTGTCAACATAGTCATAAATCATTAGATACATATTTGAGAAAATAAAAACAAATTACTAGTATTAAAAAATTAAAAACCACATAATTTTAAAAAATATACATACTTGTATTTTCATTAAATTTTGTATTTACTTCCTTTATCTAAGAAAAATAATTTGCTCAAACAAAAAAGAAATATCTAAGAAAAATTAAAATCTTGTTGGGATGTCAAAATATGTAGAACAAGATATAAATACATACACCTCTACATATATTTAGAGATAGACATTTCAACTTTCCCAATTGCCACTATATATAAACCAGAGCCAGACACAAAAGGCAGAGAAGGATCTAAGACATTTCTATATATTCTTCATTAAAAAAATATATTAGTTGGTAAACTTAAATACTAATGGAAAATGAGGGTTCATGATCAACGGCTTAGATTTGATGTCACACCCAAACCGATGGGTTTGTCCGGAGGAAGTTCTTTGGTCACGGCAAGATCCGTCGCAGTTCTTCTCTTTCTCTCTCTCCTTCTTCTGATCCTTCCGCCGTTCCTTCCGCCTCTCCCACCGCCTCCGGTGACACTCCTCCTCCTCCCTCTCCTCCTCATGGTTCTCCTTGTCTTCTTGGCCTTTTCTCCATCTAACGAGCCCAGCCTCGCCGTGGAATCTCTCGAAGCCGCCTGAAGTCCGCGACTCCCGCACCGTACGTACGTACGTATGTACATACATATATGCATTACGCAACTGTTGTATAAGCTAGTGGATATGTGTATGTGTCTCAAAGGCTTTAAGTTTCGTGCAAGTAAGATCATGTCATGTGATGATAGATCTCCTCCGAGTTTTATTTTTCAAGGATTTCGTGTATATTTATTGTTTTTAATTACTTTCTATGAGCTATTAGATTTTCTTTTGCTTTTCTATTCGTTTTTTCTTTTCTTTTTTAATTTGTAGAAGAATTTTGTTTTATTTGTAGAAACCTTCTTTGATAATTAATATACGTACGTACGTACGTTTATGTTTATCTCTTCTTGATAATATACGTACGTATTTAATTTGTAGAATAATATTGCCTTTTGACTCTCTAGTTTTCATTTTTGTAATCCGAACTTTTTTTTTCTCAGGAAATTAAATACTGAAATTAGTTTACCAAGCAACAAATAATGAAAAGTATGTAATCCGATGTCTAGTTTGTGTTTTATTTATCATTTCGGATACAAAGTATTTAGCCAAAAAAATTCTATACATCTTCAACTAATCTTGAAATTATAAACGGCAAGGATAATACCTGTTAAGCTATATACAACTATCTAGAAGCTCAAAATGATAACAGGACGTTGCATCAATTTTGAAAGCGGAAGATTGGAATCTTTTTCATGCGATACAATTGTGTATGGTGTCGCAAATTCTAATCCTGATGGACAAATGGAATGCTAAGAGCTCACAAACCTTTTAGTCCCAAAGCAAACACAGTTTTCAAATTTGATTGAGGACATATGTCGTTTGGCGTAACGCTTTGCATGTATTGCATTCATTTCAAACCGGTTCCCCGCCAATGTAACGAAGTGGCAGACTGTTCTGGTCAAGATGCCAAAATGGCTTCTCGACAAAAAGGAGATCTCAAAGACTCTTTCAAATTTAAAAAAAAAATTAGAATTGTTGTTTAGAAAAAAATATATTTTAATATACTCATGGTTTAGCCAAAACCTCTTATAGAACAGGTAATGTGAAATATTTAACAGTATGACCCATAAACTTAAGATAACTGCAAGTAGCTAGTCTGGTGCAACACCACAATATGTATTATGTAATAAGGACACTTTATATCATCTTACTACTTACATCTATCACTTGTTTAATTAATAATTTTGGTTTGTACAACTAGATTTATCATTGGGTCTGGTGTGGACCACACACATTGGAAACAATAAGGGAATCGTCCTTTGATGTCCGAGAGACAGACTATAAGTGGATGCGCCATCTGGTCACAAGCCATCGACGACACACAGCTTAGATTCTTTTAATATGGTCAAAAAGTCATTTCTGATTTTATCATCTTTTTTTTTCTTTCTTAAGTCTATTCTCTCCTTCGTTTCCTTTTTCCCAAGTTTCTTCAAAACGTATGATTGTTTTGTTACTATCTCTTACTTAGGTCATATATTTGGATAGTTGAACGTCGACTGTTTAAATGAATAGTCTAAAACCAGAAAACCAAGAAACACGCTCATTCTCTATACGTGTATCAGTGTGCTGACCAAATAGTCCCATTTTTCAACTATACACTCAATAATAATACATACGTACTACTGACTATGTGGTCTATACTCTAAGCTACATATATACAGCTAGGGTGAACTGTATCACTTTGTAAAGCCAATCAATAGGTAAATGTTTATCCTTAGCTTTCAATATACTACTATCCATCACGCAAAAAGATCCACAACATGTACAAATTGCGTTGAATCCTAATTTTGTCTTTGTGCCAATGGTTTTTGGAACGAAGAACTTTTTTTTTTCTCTTTGGGGCAAAGGAAATGAAAAAACAATATATATAGATTTATAGATTTGACTTGTACGTAGGCACGACGGCTGGCGGGTGAAAAAAGAGTCACTAACTTATGATTCTGTGACGTAAATATAAAAATAGGTTGGGGATGAGCATTATCGTTCGTCGGTCTAATGATATAACTCAAAGAACTGTGTAAATTCTGCGAAAAGAAAGATGTATTGACTTCATAAATATCATGCATGCATCTATTCATACACTACGTTCCAATTTTCCAACAAGTGGATGTCAAAAAGGAAATCAGTTTCAAATTTAATCACGAAATTGTTGGTTCTGATCATTATTAATTCAATGACTACATTTTTGTATTGATGTTGTTGTGTTAACCACTCAAAATTTAGATCTGACAACTGTTCCAAGTAAAAAAGATCCATAATCCTAATTTTTGTCCGGTGAGGTAATGTAATATATATGCGATCATTTATCCGCGAAAATAGTGTGCGTAAGATTCGAGACAATGTACAAAACAAAAAAAAGGAGATTTGACCAAATTCAAGTAAGAAATAGAACAAAATAATAATTATATATATACTTAAATGATTAAAGAAAAATAGTGTGACCGCTTTGCTTTATATTATATAGAGTCACTATCTATCGACAAAACAAAAAGCATACGAGAAGGCATTTAATTTGTCCACAAAAATCAGATCCACTGCACCTATACATACATATGAGAACTAACGCATACGTCTTCAAATTCTGCTCTTTATTTTCTTGGTCACGAGATTAAGGGCTTTTCCCATTGACTCAAAATCATAAACTTAGGGATACATTTGGAGAAAAATAAAGGAAAACAAAAGGTTGGGGATGGAATTAGATTGTGAAACGACGTTAAGTGATGATTACGTGACTCATCATATAATCCCCAGACAGTAGACACGGAATGTAATATGCTTTTGTTTTACAAAATTCAAATGTTATTAATAGAATTATGGAAAGTCAAATGTTTGGAACTCTTATAATTCGCATAGAAAGTTGTATCTTCTATAACGTCTGGAACTCTTATGGGTACCAAGTGTTACATTTACATATTTATTTTTTTAAAAAATACTGTGTCGTCTTTTGTTCTTCGTTTGAGTTCTTTTCCTTTTTTTTTTTGTATTTATTAGTGTCTTTTCTTTTTCTTCTTTACAGCCAAAAATATGCGTTATCTAATTTTTAGCTTTTCTTATATGGGCATTATATTGTAAATTTATCAATAATCAAATAGTAAATGTATTTACTAAAGAAATAACTAAATTTATTTAATTATAAAAAAACTATAATTATTTACAAAAACAAAAAAGTATTGCAAAGAGTACAAAATATGGATGATCAAATATTCTATTGATGGCTCGTCTCGCTATCCTCTAAGGCCCGAATCAAACCGACCTTGATTCTTCTCTTTGAATATATGTACCACGACTTATATAATTATCGTTTCGTTTTCTAGCTCTGAAATGTCTTAATCTTTTCCATCCTCTGAGTCTGACCTCTCCCTCATCTAAGGAATCATGTAATTCAACTTCCTACTCAATACTCATCATTTTTATTTTTTGCCAGCCACATTTTTTTGTTATAGTCCAGCAAAACTCTTCAAGTTTTACTTTAATATATACTGTATCATATTGTTACATCTCTATACAAGCCTCTAATACTTACATTATAATAACAGCAAAGGATCCAACAAAAAAAAACTTTTATGTTTGAAGAAAAAAAAAAGATCACACTTCACATCTCTTAAAAGGAGAAAATAAATAAACATAGAATTTTGATTAGCCGTTGAGAAAAAACTAAAAATGAACAATCGCAATAAATAGGGTTAAATGTATATGGAATAAGATTGAAATAAATACACACTTAAAAGAAAAAACGAATTGGTAATCAGATTCAGAGCATCAAACACAAAAACTCTCTCCTCTAAATTCACCAACCCTCCTTTACGGTTTCAGTCATCTAAAATCACATTTATGGAAATTAATTAAAGCCGCCACGTTAATACGTTTCTAGCCTACCCATGTCAAACGTTACGTTCCTCCACATTTTGTTTAGTTTCTTATTTATTATTTATTTTTATTTTTATTTTTTGCAACAACCTTTAGATATAAGTTATATATTTTCCTACGTTGTCAATATAACGTTAGATTCCATTTTCTTAAAATTTTATTACTTTTATCAAAATTCCGATTTCACTATATATAAAATTTATAAAGAAGAGAAAGGTAATTGATTATTACATAGTATGGAATTATTATTATTATTCTTTAACAATGTGTGGAGATAAATGTCATTTATAATATATATTATATTTTAACGAAAAATTAGAGAAGAGGATATATATATATATATATATTTAAACCGGTTAAAAATAAAAATAAAATAAAAATAATGGTAAAGGGTGGTTTTGCCTAAGCCATTGGGCGAATAAGCAAATAGTGTTGCTCAGTGCATGAGCTTCACCTGTAAGATATAACGTCTTTCTCTCTCACACACATAGAAAAGGAAAACGAACAAAACATACAATTTACGGACTTTTTTTTTCTTCTATCAAAAACCTTATATGCGACTATATATATGCACACACATATATGTGCAAGAACATAGAAAGAACAGAAGATTTATATAATTATACTAAAGGAGCATAGGGAATGTTCATGATCGGAGTGGTGATGGTGCTATTGGCGGTTCTTCCGGCCGTTCTGCCACCGCTTCCGCCGCCTCCGATGATATTGATGGGGATCCCGGTGGTGCTGATGCTAATGCTGGTTTACTTAGCCATTAGTTATCCACCTCATCTTCTCTCTTCTTCTTCCTTTGACACTACCCCTAGTCGTGTAATGTGACGGTGGTAGTGAGAGACAAATGTGCCTATTCAATCCAGATGAACACAACGCCGCAGATATGTAATTGCGTCTTCGTTTTGATGGATTTTGGTTTCTTGTTTCATTTGAACTGTGAATCCATGCAGTTTCCCATTTGATTCGAATTTAGACCTTTTTCTTTGTTTCTTCTTCTTTCTAATTAGGGGATTCAAATGGGATCTTCTGGTAAGAGTCAATGTTAATATCTGTAGTGTAATCTCTAATTTTTCTAATTATAATCAAACCAACTTCAATTGATTCAAGAATACGTACTAGAGATGTATGTTTATCATCAGACCATATATTATTTTAGAACACTCAATTGATTGTGGATTCGAGTTTCTACATTTCACACTGAAGTTTTGCATTATGCATGCAATATGTGAATTTCGATTGTTTTTATTTATTTATTTGATTTACTTTTTATGTGTTATATTATATAACGTACGTCCGTCACTCGTTGTTAAGGAATCAGTTCTTTCACTCACTCACGTTCTTAAATCGCTTTGGATTTGACGGAGGGGGACGCTAGTTAATGAAAGTGAAACCGTTTCATTTATTTATTTCAACGTTACAATTAAAATAAAATACATATGGGGAAAGGAGTTACAAAAAAAG